ATAAAGACCTTACTCATGTTAATAAGTCTTCACGTATTCTATCAGTATTTATTCCCCTAAGTCATAAAAAATGGATACTCTATTAATTAACATAGCTGCATGCTTAGACGTTTAATAGTTTCATCTCACCGTCGGGGCCTTCACGAGTTTACACTTAAATACACACTTATTTATCTTGTTTATACAAGTATATTTAACTAATTTTCTTACGAAACTTGCAATAAACTACTTTCATTTACATAACTTTAACGATAAATGCCCTCTCTAAACAAAAAAATGATCTTTATCTGTTTACTGAAAACACAAACGTGCCAAACAACACCACACCCGATTTAACTTTAATCAGTCTAATACTATGCATCATCCAAATCGTATTCTTGTAAAGAGTTTGTTAAAAATAATGCTAAGTCCAGTTCATGTAACGATAACGAATTAATTACTTTTTTTGATAACATTTGCTACAGGCTACGTTCACTTGTAGGCCTAACTTTAACAAACAACATTTGAACAGAAATTTTGAGACTTGCAGAATTTCCTCTACTGGATCAATAACAAACGATCTAACTCACTGAGTAACTGAATACACTCACTAACTCTCACTGTCTAGGGCACCGAATGGCATCATTCACTGAACAGTCTAACTCTCCGCCTCACTGGTTTTGGTATTTGTATTGTATCCTTGTTTCTCAATGATGCACGGGGTCTGGCATGGTCTGATGGTTAGGGCGTTGGATTCGCAATCTGCGGGACGTGGGTTCGAATCCCCGTTACCGAACATGCTCGCTCTTTCAGCTAGTGGGGGCATTATAATTTGAACGTCAAACCCATTATTCGTTGGTAAAAGAGTACCTCAAGAGTTGGCGGTGGGTGGTGTTGACTAGCTGCCTTCCCTCTAGTCTTACTCTGCTAAATTAGGAATGGCTTTCGTGTAGCTTTGCGCGAAATTCAAATCAAACAAACAAATATGATGTACGAAATTTCTAGATTCTTCAGAGGTCTCGGATTTCATTAACTTTCTAGATATTGCGTCATGCGTCCTCTAGCAAACAAACACCTAATTTAAAATATTAAAAATATAGCTTACAACATTATGTTTAAAAAATGTATAGCAGAAATTATCTGTAATAGACGTCGCAGCTATACCGGAACGTGTTATTAAATACAGAGAAATCAATACATTAACGTATCAAAAAACTGTCTTCGTATAATTAAATCATTCATTTCGTATTCGTTAACGGATACAGCGATTATAATAACCCTTTCATTACTGTTTTTACAAGAGGTTCTACAAAGTGCCATAACTCTTTCTAAAAAAAAAAGAAAAAGTGGAACATATGAATACCTTAAAAAACATTTTGCCCATTAATTAAGAATTTCTGAAAAATTGTATTATTTTTCTGTTACAAAAAGGTATATATATCAATAATAGTTGTCTTATTTCTTGTATGAAAATACGAAAAAATAATTTTTGCAACTTCAACACTTCTATTGAGAGCTACTTTTAAGACGATGTAGCATGGGAAATAAAACAACAGTTTTCAGTTGTTGCTAGTCTTTATGTTTCTATTGTTTAGGGTCGCCTTGTTGCCGATAGCATATTAATATTTTACTCCTGCTCTATAATTGAGTCTTTAAATAATTAAATCGTTATTGACATTATTGTAAAAAATAAACGTATTTTCTAATTTCAAAGCACGTGAGTAACGTGTCTCAAACTGGTCACTGTTGTGAACTGGGAGGCATAAATTATGCTGTGGTCGATAATAATCTGGGTCGATAATTCGTTACGCCGTAAATACTGAATTGTTTACACCGAAAAGACAACCTTCACCGAGCCCAAACAAACAGAAGCGTCGTCGGTTTCTGTGGCTCTAATACACCTTATTTCTTCTCGGTTGTAGTAACAGCCACGTATAACTAGAGTTACGTCTTCTCCACGTTGAAATCGTATGTTTTAAAAATGGTTTAGAAAGCATAGGTTGCTGGTTCGCCAGTTATTGTGAATGATGATTAAAGTTTATTCACGTAAAAAATAAATAATAAATAATTGGTATTGAAATAAATAGAAAATATTATATTATTAATCATTCCCCCCAGTGGTTTCCAAACTGTGTGTCTCTAAATGAGTTGCTAGGCGTGTCGCGAGAGTTTCACCAAACGAAGAATACTTAATAAGAACATAAAAAAAAACAAACTAAAAACATATTGCACGTGGCAGCAGGGATGTCTCGCAAATCAAGGTAAGTGGGTTAGGGTGTCGTCAGTGAAAAAAATTTAGGAACCGCTGCTTTACCCTAATTATGATTCGTAAATTACTCGTAAAACTGATAAAAAGTACACTTCTCCAAAATAATCTACTTTACGCGGAAACAACAGCAGTTTGATAATATAAATTGCGTCTCAGTCATTACCGTATTTGTCGTATTGCAGCCGGCCTGATGAGCCCTGGTATTGAGAGAAATGCGTCGTCGCCACTAAATACAGAAAATGTATTGTGTGGTTGACATATTGTTATACATTCTCCTTTAATTTCACTCTTAAGTTCTTAGTAGAATTGATAATACCGTGTAAATAGTTTTGAAATATGCACTCGTCGTTATATGACTTACCGTATAGCTCTAATTTTTAAGATTACTTTGAAGTTGAGAACGTTTGCAACGCATTACTTTGAAGTTGAGAACGTTTGCAACGCATGAAAAGTTTTTGGATAATGTGTGTATTAAAAAAAAAATTACGTATACTTAGCCAGAGAGTACATACGTATACGTAGCCAGAGAGTACATACGTATACGTAGCCAGAGAGTACAGCTTATTGCTTCTTTAAAAATAATTATTGTTACTTTTTGTTTGTTGACGTTTTGATGCACGCGTCTTGAATTCACTGGCAATCAATTCAATACTTAGAAGGACTGCTCGTTGTTAAGCGCAAAGCTAATCACAATGGAATATATGTGCGCTGCCCGCTGCGGTTATCGAAACTCGATTTTTATCGTTATAAACTGAGCCCTCAGACTTACCCCTGAGCCACCTAGTAATGAACATTTCTCAGTGCAAAAACTATTAACAGTACTCTAGTATGATTACTAAATAACCATACTTGATCACGTGACTTTTCATTCCCATTAAGTTCGTATTCTTATTTATTGATATTGACTAATGGTTCTGATATTATAATTTACTTGAACAGTTGGAAAAATTCTGAAATAAAAATCAAATGAGACCGTTCATAACTTTTCGCATACACTGTATTCTTAACTGCTCCGTTACGGGCCAAACTATGCTTTAATTTTCTGTACGAGTTAAAATTAACAGTCTGGTGAATACGAGTTAAAATCTAAGAAG